ATAACAGTAGACACATTATATGTAATGCTTTTTTATTGAAATATTGAAACAAAATTGTCACATACTGAACATAATTATCATCAGCTTTGAAACTAAAAAATAGCTTGGGGAATTTCCATGCTAAACAAAATATGAATACCAAAAAGGAAAAATATATATATATATAACCTTTCAATGCAAACAGACATACTGTGACCTGAAAACCATGCAGCTCACCCTATGACATAATGAAAATGCAATATTTAAAGGCAATAAACTCATCATGATACAGTCATGCAAAACAGCTAACTAAATGAAAGTATATATGATGTAAATATAGATTTAATAATCGAGACATGACTGAATGTAGTCTCACAGATTTTCAGAAGTTTAGCTAATAAGCATAAAGCATCAAACTTTCACTTGAAGGATTCAGTGGAGACAAGAGAAGGGACTGACGTCAAGCAAGTCTGATGAGGTCTGTTCATTCAATTAGACATGAAATAAGATTAATCAATAGATAAAATGTACCAATAATCTGTTATTAAAATACAGAAGTGCTGTACAAAACTCTAAAGGACTGACAACAGATTATCCCGTCATTTAAAAAGATATGTTATCGCTTTTAGTTAAATATTATTTAGGGAGATATATTTTAACAGAGTTGTTAAAGGCACAATATGTAAGATTTTTTTATTAAAATATCCAAAAACCTCTAGAACAGTGTTATATATTTTGCTGACTTGTGTACTTACATTATCCCAAATGTTTCGAAGAATGTTTAAATCCAGAGAAATAAGCAATTTTAACTAGTGACACGGACCGTGTCCATAGTGTCATTGTGTCGCCTGCCAATGACGTCATAACCCCTCAATTTCCGGTTTTGTTTTGTAGAAAACATGGAAACACCAAAGACGCTTTAATATATTGTGCATTTTAATAGACCGGTTACGACCGCACAGAGTAGCATTATAACAGAACTTTCAAATGTATCTAGTATGATAAAACAGCACTGCTTTTTTCCCCCACATACGCACGACCGGAAGGAGCGGAAGCCGTCGACTGTGGCATAATAAAAGCTCCGCTGCTTTCAAGCCGTGTGTCACGCTCGTTCAGCGCCTCGTTTCACTTCGACGGCTTTCAGCCTCACCCTGCTTCATTCTACTACGTTAATAAATCATTAGCTCATCCATGAACATGATTTCTGCCCGAGTCCCGTCGGATTGCATCGGCTGTGGGGATGAAGACCACAACTCCCATGATTCCACACTCATCAAACTACGCCTTTGTCTCTTTGTTTTTTGAATAC